TATATATATATATATATATATATATATATTCCATTTCTTAAATGAAATCAAAGTTTAAACAATCAGTCGGATATGTATTACACAATATGTAGGTGTTTTTTTTGTTTTGTTTTTTTGCACACCATTTAAAGTGTTGCATGATGGTATTCTCCCATTCAGATCCATTGGAGTAGAGCAGGACAAAAGAAACCCAGTTGTTTTCTTGTCAAGTTCCAAAAAATGGCTTATTCATTTAACTCTGTAAATCTGCAGTTTGAGTTTCAGGGTTTCTTATAATTTAGTAGACACTACTAATAAACTTAATTGAATTAAATTGTTTTCGATGATTAAGTACTGAGTTCTGTCCATGAAGAGTGCAACTATAATCTGAGATCCTACTGGCTGGTTATTTCTAGCTCTTCATTTTATTGGAAAACTAATTTATCACTTTGCAATTCCTTTGCCTGACCGTTAACAAATCCACTCAGTCTTATAAAGAACACTAGACTTAGTTGGTTAGACATCTAAGGGATGCACTGATTGAATGGCCGGCAGGTTTGTTTGCTTCAGTTTCCTCAATTTTGGGAGATAAAAGTCTGAAAATCAATGGTTTAAACTTCGATATACATTGAAGAGCAGTAATTTCAGAACATTTTATTGTTTACAAGGTACTGATTGATGCCTTTCAGTAAGATAATATTGAAATATTGGAGGCATCTTGTAAACTTAAAACAACTCACAGCGTCAGTTATATAAAAAAAATAATAATAATTCTGTATCTATCAAATTCGGCATTTGAATTTGTTTTGAAGATCTATAATCGCTAATCGACCAGAAAGCAGCAATCGGCAACCAACTTGAAATGTGTATTGAGCAAAAAAATCTTGACTTTCACATATCCAGTTTACACATTAAAAACCAGAAATGATCAGAGGGCTAAAATAAGCAATAGAAAACTTTATAGATAAAAAAAATAATGCAAATCAAATTACTGAACAGGCTGACTGCTGTAAAATAATACTTTCTTTAAGAGGCCAAAAATCGAGGACTAATCGAGAACTTCCAATTTTTTTCCAGGTCTTCTAAAATCAAAGTTTAAACAATCATTAAGTGTATTATAGACTGTGCATGAATGATGCAGTGTGTCCGGTGGCTGATTTGTACACTATTTAAAGTGTTATTTCCTGTTGAAAACCCAAAAACCAATCAGTGCTGTTAAAATGATTTCTCATATCACAAAAACTACATAGGATGCCTTTTAAGTTTCTAAGATTAAAAATAATTAAGGGATTGCTTTCTACTAGGACAAAGACTTAATTATTCATTTGGTTGCAACTTTTAGATCACTGACTCTTCCAGCCACACTCTTTACTCGAAAGAAGATGCAACAAAAGGAAAGTTTGCTTTCACCACGGAGGACTACGACATGTTTGAGGTTTGCTTTGAAAGCAAATCCCCCATGGGTAAGTGTTAAATTTAAGAGATTTAAAGTAACAACATGCACCTAGTAGAAAAATTATCTTAATTTGTTTGATTTTATGCAATGATTAGATAATGCGGATAGATTTAAATCCTCAATCTGATAGATGTAACTAGTTTTAGAGTGCTGTTGCACAGTGATAAGTTTGCTTGGCACAATAAATAATCTCAGTGCTAAATTTCATATTCTGTTAAAGTGTAAATCATGTGAAAATCTGCAGGAACAGGAAGAGTGCCTGACCAGCTGGTCAATCTGGACATGAAGCACGGAGTGGAGGCCAAAAACTACGAAGAGGTAATGTTTCAGAAGAAGACTTCTGTGCTTCCTGATTATAAAATTATTTAAATCCCAACATGTAGATAAATACTTTACCTACTTGGCCAGTACAACCGGCTTGGAGATTTTCCAGTCCAACCATATTTACTTGATTATTCTTAATCTCAAGTAAAATATTGCCTTTTTTTTTTCTTTTTGGAAGACGTGCTTCAATTCAGTTCTTTCAATTTTCTTCAGTTTATTTACAGTTAAAGATAAAAAAAAAAAAAGACAGAAGATTTGAAATCAGTGTAAAGGGTTAGTTTAGTTTCTTTGTTCAAACAGAAGTGTCAGTGCCATTTGTCAACATTGTAAATCTTTTTTTTATTTTTAAACAGGCAGAAATATAAAAATGCTAATTGTGGCATGTCAGTTGATGTAGCAGAAGGAATCGGAAGCTGTCCGTCTTGTATTCTGGACTTTTCCAGTAATTCCTAATAAATCGTCAAAGTGTAGATTGCTGAGATTTGCCTTCCTCTGCCCACATGTATTGTGCAAACATTACATGCTGTTCAGCTGAGCAAATGCGTCGGTGGATATTCACTGTTGAACTTGAAGAGGGTATTCCTGTCTGTTGGCGAGAGGGTGGAGCTGAAGTTACGCATCTATTAATTTCTTTAATACTTGAACAAATTTGCAACAAGTTAAAAAAAACATGGTTACACAATGCTGTCTGGCAGACACAATCCCTGCTGTGGTGTGTTTTCTTTTTGAGGGAGTGGAATCTGTTTGATAGGGTCTAAGAAATATTTTAAGGTATGGCCCATCTTTTTGTCAGGCTGTTACCATAAAGTTATGATTTAGATCTAACAGGGTTTCCGGGGGTCATTAAAAGTCATTAAACAATTATTATTTTTTTTTATTATAAGGCCTGATTTGGCATTAAAATTAATTAAATGCGATGATTTTGGCATTTAGAATGCTTTATTTAGAAAAAAAGTTTCTAAAAACAATTTATTAAACAATATATACATATGCAAATATATTGCGATAAATTTGCACGGAACTGCTTCCGGTTGATCGTAAAGCTGTATGTTCAGAAAAAAAGCTCGCTGCGGAGAAAAGGCTAGAGAATGGGGAAAATGCTAATTTTCATTAAAAGTGGCTGGAAATTGAGGAATTACAGCCTGCCAACGGAAAAGATGAAGGAATTTGCCGTGTATATATGAGAGTCATGGGTATTTGTTGATGGCATTAAAATTATTTCTAAGAGCATTAAAAATCATTAAATTAGAGTTAATTATTCCTGTATAAACCCTGTCTAAAACAAAACTTTCAAACTCTCCTTAGATAATCTTTGTCTCACATTTATAATAGTGTCTGATACTCACTGTGAAGTTTGTGAATGATGGTACCGAATAAAATAATTGTAGATCATGACTTAACTAAAAAAAGCAGGCATGTTTGATTTTATACTAAAACACATAAGGAAAACCTTCCAAGTGTTTTTTTACTCTAATTAGTAGATGTTGTTTTGTAATAAATCAATATCTGATCATTCATATTATCAGCCAGGTGTGTAGCATGTTACGCCCCCACAGGCTCTGATAAGCATTTGGTCTTTCCATGATGTAGATCTAATGCTTTTATATGGGTAAAGCTAATTTGTCTTCCGCTTATAGATGAGATTGATTTCCATCAACTGTGGCTCTGATTGGTAGCCTCAGTAACACAACCTGTATTTTCTACTCAAACTTATATGGAACAATTAGAAGAAGTTTAACGTTATGTTTGAACACAATTATTTCGGTAGATGGACCATTTAATTGACAAAAACTACAAACATTTGTTTCAAGATACTAGAGTTTGGTGTTTGCCTCATGACCTGTTAGTGTTACTAACCCACATCTGGTCGGTATACAGGGAAGCAGCATTCTTAGAATGCTTAACAAGGCCTGTTAACCTATCATAGTATCTACTACTTTTTTGTTTTTTTTAAGCCTTTTCCAGTTAAAGTACCTGTGACCTGTATGCTGATAAACCTGTTACAACAGCTGTTCCAACTATTTCCACTGGAAATTTCTCCATCAGGTTATTATTTTTAAGTGTAAAGTTGCGTCAGAAATTCAAATATTTAAACTGGTCTTGGGCAATAGTGTTTCTGATGTCCTAATAGCTTATTTGAATTATTCCTGGAAGAAGAGTTTTATTTAAAGAATACTTAAATGGGACAAACAAAGGATGCTTCTTCCTTTTTTTTCCCCCCTTGTACATGAACTTTAAATTTAGGTTGTTATACATATAACTATCAATCGGAATTAACCATAAATAAAGTATCTATAGAGGTTTGAGAGTAAAGAAATGTGCAAAACTGCAGTTAGATTATTTTTGTAATAACTTTAGTGTCAAGTTTAATCTTATTGTAATTATAAATCAGCATTTTCTTACAACTTTCATAAATGAATGCTGACCAGATACTATAGAAAGGATATTGGGTAAAGTCTAAAAGCGGTTATGTTAAAATCAGTTGTATAATTCCAGGGCATAAGGATATCTTACCCAAGTAGGTTTTGGAAATTAATGCTTTTAAATGTTAAAAACGCTTTACTCAAACTTTCAGAGCTATTGTTTAATCAAAAATCAAAATTTAGCTCAGCAGTGACACCTACTGGCCTCAGTGTTTCACATCATTTCAAATGTTTTGTTCTCTTGATTGTTTTGGAGAAGCTGACATCTAGAAGTGGTTTTTAATCAGCTCTTTGTTTTGTTATTTTTCCTCCAGATTGCAAAGGTGGAAAAATTGAAGCCTCTGGAGGTTGAACTCAGGAGACTGGAAGATCTGTCGGAATCCATCGTCAATGATTTTGCTTATATGAAGAAGAGGGAAGAGGAAATGCGGGACACCAATGGTACGCAAACTTAGTATTTGTAAAATTAGCATACATGTCGTTTTTCTTTTGGATTGAGTAAGATAGGGGTCCACAAGATGAGACTTGTGAGTTAAAAGAGGCTCTATAGCTGTTCAGCTTCCCAAATGGAAATAATTATGAACATTTATTATTTATATAAATATATATTTATTTATTATGCAATATTAGTATAGATCTTTTGCAACAGGTTGATCCTAATGGTTTACATTTTTCTGTCAATTTAGGTCAGTTGTTTTATAATTGAAGTTTGTTTTTTAGTCCTTTAATTAAGTCTTTTAATGCATAAATGCATGCATAAATCGTTTTCTATTTTCTGAATAGTATGATTTAAAAAACGTGGCTGACCCCTGGTCCAGGAGAAGAGGCCGTATTTGGTTTAGTGCATCAAGAAGTAGGATTTGCTCTTCATTAATGTATGACTGTTTTGTATCTCTACAGAGTCGACAAACACCCGTGTGTTGTACTTCAGTATATTTTCTATGTGCTGTCTCATCGGTCTGGCCACGTGGCAGGTCTTCTACCTGAGGCGTTTTTTCAAGGCAAAGAAGCTGATCGAGTAGATCGACTCATCAGGCTCCTTCCCTCGAGGGGGAGGAAGCTGCCTCCCAGTCAGCATACACATCCCAGCATCCACCTTCTTTGGACTAGCTTCAACAAACATCAAGTGGGGTTTAGGGGGCTCAGAATCTAGTCTCAAAGCTCTGAGCGTATCCATAATTCCTCTGGGGAGAATAAGATTTACCTGCTTATTTACTAGTCTGAAACAAAAACTTTGTGGAGAGAAATGCATTGTAAGACATGGGAGGTACAGGTTTCTTTCTGCATTGTTTTGAATGTTGCAGCTTATTAAATAAGAAATTTTTTTTTCCCTCATCACTCATTTAAAAAGTTTTTTTTTTTTTTTTTTATTGAGCTCGGTGTGAGTGGATGTGCCACAAGTGAATGTCTGCCCCTATATTAATGCACGCATTTTGTTGCAAACACATATACTATTAATACTGTTTTATTAAGTGAAGGCTTTTTCAAACATGGAGTGTTGTTCCTCAAAGCCAATAAGCAACCACTGAACTTCCATGTTGTCACTTAAATAACATACATGTTTGGTAGCTAAATTTAACTCTTTAGTTGTTGGGTTTTTTTTCCATAATTACCACCTTGTTGTTTCTACTGGTATCTTGTTTTTGTGGGATGAGTGGGGGTTGAGTATACAGATAAATGTCCTCCTAAATATAAATTCATTCTCCTCTTTGAACTTTGGTTTGTTCAGATTCCTTAATTTTTTGCATCTAGGTAATTTCTCTTTGCCCGTTTCAATGTATTTATGCAATGTTTGTCGTGTCAGAAGGCGGTGGTCTGATGCTGTGACAAACTGAACCATTATGAAACATACAGCCTTTTACTTTAACTCCAGAATATCGCCTCCAAGTTACAGAACTTTCTGATCCATCCAGTGTTCCTGTTTTCTTTCTAATGTTTAAGACCAGGGTCAGGTGAATGTGGACGGTTGCAGATATTCATATTTAATTTTTTCATTTGACAGGAAACATTGAAGGCTGTCCTCGTACATTTTTAACAAACATGCGCATGGAGCGCAGTCAATTTTTATGTTGACTGGTAAATTTTGTAAATTTGTGTTGGGCTTTTATTCAATAAAAAATTGGATGGATTTCACGAGTTATTTTGTCTTTTTTACTTAACTTAGGGAACTATATATTTCTGTTTCATAAACTAAACTTCAGAAGAAAAAAAAATAAATAAATCAAGTGCTTATAAAGACCTTCTCTGAGTCTTGTGGCATCAGCCATCTTCTACTGTTGTGGACAGTTTCTACCTTTGTTAAATGGAGGCGGAAGTTCAATTGAAGAAACTAATTCCTTACCTGCCTCCCACACAGGCCAATAAGCTTTGAACCACATCTCTACGAAAGCCAACCAGCATCCAGAGTTCATCTTAAAAGGGTCTCCAAAGGCACATTTCAGTGTGCTACCCAGACACAATCACTTGTTGCGCTATGCCTGACTTTGATTCAGATGACCCCAATTCAACCCCCCATCTCCAGCATCATAGCTAAAGCTTCATGAGAGTGTCATTCCTCCCGGACTCTTACTGCCTTCCCTGTTTCATCTCAATCGGTCCAGCAGAAGACCATCATGTTGAGCCTGCTTCTGCCAGAGGTTGCTTCCCAAAGGGGAGTTTTTCCTCTCCACTGTTGCTTCATGCTTGCTCATCGTGGACAGGTTCATGCAACCATCTTTCAGGTCCCCTAATGAAGCACTATGAGCTCATGCAGTCCTCTTGATCTCTCCATACAGCAGTCATGGACTGACCAACTTCATCTATCTCTACTCCACCACCAGTTTCAGGCCTGGGGGGAAACATCCCTATTTTTTACTCCTGTTTATGCATATCAAAGCAAAATTCAGCGCTAATGTTTCTGGCTGAGGTTGAGCACCAATGACTAAAGTAATTGTATCAATAAAATTCTTCTGTCTTTTCTTTCTGTGTGAGTCTTTCAGATTGAAATAACTTGCTGCTGTCATTTTTCATATCTCAGATATTGCTGCTATTTTCAAATATCCGTTACTGTAAAAATGTCTATAGCTGTATATTGGTTATTTATTCTCCAGGTACACAGTTTTTTTTATTGTTAAAATAACTTGCAGTACAGTACATTTATTGTTTATGTTATAACTCTTCTCTATTATGGTATTCTTATAAATTTTTCTAAGGTCCACATTTGTTCTACAATCTTTTTGCTGCTCTTAATTCTATAATTTCCCCATTGTAGGACAAAAAAAGGGATTTTATATTCTGTTCTATTCTAAATGAGCAATTAATGAACAAATCTGACCATTTAAGTATTTTATCACTAAGGATTTTATCTCTCTTACCAAAAAGATTGACATCTCCAGATCATCAATTAGGTGTTGAAAATCAAGTGGATTACCTTTTTATGAAGCATTTAAAATAACACCGCTAGTTCCTGGCAACCAAAAGCAATTAAAGCATGACAAGTTGATGTTACTTTAAAGAAAATTAATTAAAAAAAAATTTTTTTAAGACCTGCAAAAAAAAACCCCATCAATCTTATGGAAAACCTTTGGGATAAATTGAGAGCGTAAATCATATTTCAAATGCTTACATCTTCCAGACACATGCCGCCAAATCTTGTAGATGGCCTTCCCACTAAGGCTGATTAATTAATTGCATTTGCAATCAAAATGCAATTTGGAAAAATGCATTTTTCCAAATGCAAATAGATTTAACAAGAGTAAGACATTACATTCCTCCCTCCAGGCTTTTATGTGGCAGTAATACGATTAAAGTTTATTGTACATAGAAGTACAATACCCACTAGTAGAAGTAAGAACTTGTTTGTGAAAGATTTTTTTCCAGCATGTTATTGTCATTACACTGACACAGGTACAGGTACAGAGCAACAGAGCATTTAACCCATCCCTGTGGGGAGCAGTGTGCAGCATCCAGGGTGCAGTGTGGGGTTAAGGGTCTTTGCTCAAGGACCCAGAGTGGCAGTCCATGGGAGAGAGGATTGAACCTTAGGATTGAAAGCACAATGCCCCAACCACTAGACTGCCACTGACTCCCCCTCTGTTTTTTTTTTTTTTTTTTGTTTGTTTGTTTTTTGTTTTATTGATCAACAGTAAAGGCCTGCATTACTGTACTCTGGACAAGAAGGCTTTTAAGGTCATGAAAAACTAAAAACCTGTAGTAAAACATCGACATGCTTGCGCTTAGTGCAAAGGATTATTGCAATCACAATATTGGTTGAAAATAATCACAATTTTGATATTTGGCAAAATCGTTCAGCCCTAATTCCCACACACAAAAAAGTTGAACGTGGTCCTAGCTGCAGACACCATTAAGAGTTGATTGTTATTAACAATCATGTGAGCGTAAAGGCAAACCAGTGAAAATACACTCTGCTTATTACTCAACTGACTTTAGTTTGTTGAGTTGTTTGAGTTTTCTTTATTTTCATGATTATGAAAGTTTAAGATTCACACTTAAGGCAACAAAATATGAATTAATTATTAATACATGAGAAATTATATACTTAACAAAAAAGTGTGAAACAACTGAAAATATGTCTTATTTTCTAGGTTCTGCAAAGTAGCCACCTTTGGCTTTGATTACTGCTTCGCAAACACTTGGCATTCTCTGGATGAACCTCAACAGTTAGTAACCTGAAATGGTTTTCACTTCACTGGTGTCCCCTGTTAGGTTTAATATAGTGGGATTTCTTGCCTTATAAATGGGGTTGGGACCGTCAGTTCGCACCTCCATCAATTTTCTGTAACGGTTATCCAAAGCGGGGTCACGAGGGGTACTGGTGCCTATCTCCAGCCATCTACGAGCGAGCGGCGGGGTAAACCCTGGACAGGTCACCAGTCCATCGAAGGGCAACACATAGACACACAACCATTCACACACACACACTCACACCTAAGGACAATTTAGAGAAGCCAATTAACCTAACAGTTATGATTTTGAACTTTGGGAAGAAGCCGGAGAACCCAGAGAGAACCTATGCATGCTCAGAGAGAACATGCAAAATCTATGCAGAAAAAACCCAGGCTGGGAATTGAACCCAGGTCCTTCTTGCTGCAAGGCAGCAGTGCTACCCACTGTTCCACTGAGCAGCAACATGATACACACTCATGAAGTGAAAACCTTTGTAAAGGCATCAGAGCTTTGTATGACATCACTAAATAAACAGCATATATACACTACATGATTTGTTTTTATTAAAGGGAATGGCAGTCTAGTGGTCAGGGCATAGAGCTTGGAATCCTGAGGTTCCTAATTAGTCACACGCCTACAGACTTCCTCTCTGGCTCTCCTACCAAGACCCTTAACCCCACACTGCGCAGCACAATGGCAGCCCACTGCTCCCCAAGGGGATGCAGAGTTAAGTTTCTCCAATGTGAGATCAATACAGTTAAATTATTATCATTATAGAATAACTCCCTTTATTGTCTCACAATGGGTAAATTAGGCTGTTAAAGCAATAAGAGTGGTCACACAAATGTGGACCTTAAAAAGTGCATAAAAATAATAGAATAAGTGGAAAAGCACTTAAAAACAACCACAACTGACTAAAGTAAAAAAACAAAAAAAAACAAAAAACAAAACATAAAACAGTAAAAATAATATAATATAAATACTGTGCCTCTGAACAATAGATAATCAATATAAGGCTGTGGCCATTTTTACAGTATTTTACAGCATAGTAAGATATATATATATATATATATGCATAGAGTGAGAGATATGTGTATGTATATTTGTGCATACCTTTCTGTATGTATTAATAAAAAATATATATATACATGTAACATTGCAACATACATACATCGTATCTGAATATTCTATTACTTTTAACCCCACTATTAATATTTAAATACACTGAACCATTTCTTATTTTTTTTCAGAAAAAAAAACACAAAACCTTGAAAATAAGTTAAAGTTGATTAAAATTGATTACGTGCCTGCTGAACACGTTACTTAAGCGGAATTGTTGACCGCCCCAAGATGGCGCCACCTTTCCTGTTTTTTTTTTTGTTTTTTTTTTGACGCAACACCGGATGTTCTTCACAAGTACTTCCGGATCATATTTCACAGCAGAAACTTGCTGTTGTATTTCCTAACGTCTCTTCTGTATCAGAAATAAAACCATGCCGGGCCCAGATAAGGAGACGGACCTGACGGAGCGGGTTGAAGCCTTTCTGTCTGACCTGAAGCGCGGAGGCAGCGGGGCGGGACCTCTGCGTGGTTCGGCGGAAACTGCCCGAGAAACAACCGCACTGCTCCGCAAAATTACAGCTCAGGCTCGTTGGAGCAGCGCAGGTTCTTTTATATCTAATTAAACGGCAGCTTAGGACGAACTTACGGAAAGCTAAATTATCATATAAATGGTCATAGTTTTGTTATGTATGAACATCTGACACATCTGTTGTACCATAATTTCAGTCATTGAAATGTGTCAAGCTACATCATGGTTTCTTGTTTGTGTTCATTAAATTGAGTAACATTTCAGTATTGTATTATTGTTATATCTAATAATTAACATTTCTACATTCTAAAAAGTGATAATCATCAAATATGAAGGGGCAGTCTGTCCGCAGTCTGTGTCAGCGCCGCTTATGATGGAAATGTAATTAAAAGAAACAGGTCTACACCCTGTAATTCTATTATTAACATTGGACCACTTGTTTTAGGTGATCTGATGGAGATAATCCGGAAAGAAGGGAGGAGAATGACCGCTGCCCAGCCTTCAGAGACCACAGTGGGCAACATGATCAGGAGGGTCCTGAAGATCATCAGAGAGGAGTATGCAAGGTGAGGAGAGACTGACTGGTACCTCATCCATGGACTGGGAATGGAAAAAAATAAACATAATGTGTTTGGAAAACATGCAATTAGTTTAACCTTAAGTCCATTGCAGGGCAACACAGAGACAAACAGGACAAACAACCATTCACTCACACATTCACACCTAAGGAGAATTTAGAGAAGCCAATTAACCGTCATGTTTTTGGACTGTATGAGGAAGCCGGAGTACCCGGAGAGAACCCACACATGCTCAGGGAGAACATGCAGAGAATAAACTCAGTTCTGTGATTTTTAATTTATTTATGCTGATCTGCATCCCGCACATTTTGTACCTCTGTCTGAATTTTTTCCCATTTAGGCTTATCTTCACTTCATACATTTGTCTTTAGAGTTTAGAAGATGCTTTTTTGATATAGTTTATTTCGACATTTTTAATCACTTGGTGTATTCAAACAAAATAATTAAACATAAAAACCAACATTTATAATCCTGAATGAAAGGAGCAGAAAGGATCAAAATATGCAACAAAAAAAAGTTAATGAAACAAAATATCTGTAGTGATTGAAAGACATAATTTTACATGGTTAACTGTAACTGACATAAACCAGGATCAGCATGTTACTTTAACGAAGATGCTCAAAGTAAACCAGTTATGTCTGACAACCCTTTAGTCATGGCTGAAAAGAATGCATCCAGTCAAGTCTTTGGAAATTAAAGGTATAGTGGAGGATTTTCTTTTTTCTGGGTGGATCATCAAAATAAGAGGTCCTCCTAATTGTCAATCATTCTGGTGATATGTTTATGTAAGGCCGTCCTACATGCTCATCCCCATTTTCCCCAGTGGTGAGGCTGACATAGTGGAAAAATACTAAATCTTCTTTTGGAAAGTAAGCTTGTACGAGCGACGCAAACAGAAAATTGTAAACCGAGTGTGCAAAAGGAAAAATTGGCTCATGCATGCTCTCGAATGTGTTTAATAGGCGTTACCTCTCAGGGGTGGGTACAGGATTGTTCATTTGTATTTCTTTTTAAAGTGAAGAGGGCATGTCGTTTAACAAATGTGCGAAAATACTCCACAATTTTTTTAACACATTCAAATTTTATTGGATTGGAATGTATAGAAAGTTAGAAATTATTCTATCTAATTTTCTACCTCTCTTCCTATTCTAACTTTTTGACAGCACAAGACATACCTGACTCCTTATCCCCCCTAATTTCCTATACTTCCTGTTGCTTTGATTGTAGATTTAGGCATGTTTAATTTTTATTTTGTTTAATTTTTAGGATAATTTTTTTTAACCGTTTCCAGATCTTTGTCGATCTACATGAACCTGCATCACTCACTCCTGTCTTTCCCATTTTCAAGAGTTGCTAATGGATTCTGTCCCATCAAAATTACAGCCTCTCCGATGCATTTAATAGGTGTTCTCTCTCAGAAGAGGTACAGGGTGAAGAGGGCAGGATTTTTCAAAGATCCTCCGCTATACCTTTCAGGATAAATGCATTTATGGTGCACAGAGTCAAACATTTTAACCTTTTGTTGTCTTTTTTATTAATATTTAACTGTTGAGGTTTTCTCCCCAGGTCTAGAGGTAGCAGTGAGGAGGCAGACCAACAGGAGTCCCTCCATAAGCTGCTGACCTCTGGAGGACTCAGTGAGGAGAACTTCAGGCAGCATTTTGCTCCCCTCAAAGCCAATGTCATAGAGGCCATCAACGAGCTCCTCACTGAGCTGGGTAAGATGGTTTGCTCTGCAAACAGGAAAATATTTTTGATTTGGTCTGTAAGTTTAAAGAACTGTTTCTGTCGTTTTAATTTCCAGAGGGAACAACAGACAACATCTCCATGCAGGCTCTGGAGCACATCCACTCCAACGAGGTTATCATGACCATCGGGCGCTCTCGCACAGTGGAGGCTTTCCTTAGAGATGCCGCACGGAAACGCAAGTTTCATGTCATCGTAGCAGAGTGTGCTCCGTTCTGTCAGGTATCTGAAGTGGATTAAAATGAACTTGAAAACTAAATTTTAGAAGAAAGTTCATGAGAAACTTAATGCATCCACAGGGACATGAAATGGCTACCAACTTATCCAAAGCCGGCATAGAGACGACAGTGATTGCAGACGCAGCGATATTTGCAGTCATGTCTCGGGTCAATAAGGTATTTGTCTTCACAGAAAACTCATGCTGTGATCAGGGGGATGATCAGCAACTAAGTTTTAATATTTATATGTTTGTCAGGTCATCATTGGAACTCAGACAGTTCTCGCAAACGGGGGTTTGAGAGCCGTTAACGGGACGCACACTCTCGCCTTAGCAGCCAAGCATCACTCAACACCTCTTATTGTCTGTGCCCCCATGTTCAAGCTGTCGCCTCAGGTACAATAATAAAGTACTTCATCTATTTCTCAGGTATTTCTTAAACAAAGATAAGAAACAGGAAATGTTTTCTTTCCGTAGTTCCCGAACGAGGAGGACACTTTTCATAAATTTGTCTCCCCACATGAAGTCCTCCCTTTTACTGAAGGTACACCTCTTTGCATGCATAATGTTTCTTCGTTAGAACAGTTTGTCAGCTGTGGTCATTGAATGTGTTTCAGGTGAGATCCTCTCAAAGGTCAATGCGCACTGTCCCGTGTTTGACTACGTCCCTCCGGAGCTCATAACACTCTTCATTTCTAATATTGGAGGACATGCGCCATCATATATCTACCGACTGATGAGTGAACTGTACCACCCAGAGGACCATGAGCTTTAATCCCAGTAACTGATCAATAAAGATGATTTAAGCTGTGTCTGCAGTGCTTGGTTTACTTTTGGGAATGGTCTTTGTGTCTAAACTGTTTCTATTTGATGATCTCCTCTTCATGTGGAAGAAAGTAGCTAAAGTGGCTCCAGTTTAGATTGTGTTAATTCAGCATAAATATAGATAACCAGCACTTAAAGACTAGATGGGGATTCATTTCTGATTAACTTATAATGGAAAATATTAATCAGATGTTTACTAGGGGTTTCCTGATTTCTGAAGACTGTCAGTTGAAGAAAGTTTCATTCATTGGTAAGGGCGTGAAAAGGAGGAAATAGGAATCTATTTTAAACCCCCAGCCCCCATCACCGTATTTTGAAAAACTGCTAAAAGTTGGAGCTATAGTTCTCCTGATTTCTCACAATCAGTCAAAAGATTTTTAAAGCAGAAATATCCTTTATTGTGCCATAGTTGGGAAATTTAAATATTGCAAAAGAAAAACATAAATGGAGTATATTGGATATAAAGGTTAAAAAAAATAAAGTTTAGAGAGATTAAATTTGAATCCGAACAAGGATACACTTAAAAGGAAATCGACAGTAAATTAATAGTAAAGTACGGTAAATACATTTTACATCTAAAAAGTAAAACAAATCCTGACAACCTGTTTCACGAACTGAGACAATAAGTATGATCTATCAATCAATTATGAGACTGATTATTGTTTTACTGAAATGTTTTTATCATCTGGTCATCAGAGCTTGATGTAGTATCAGCTGACCTCCAGTAGGAGGCGGTGTTGGACAAATGCCACAGCTGCTGTTTGAAGGTTTTAGATGAAAAAAGAAGCTAAAATAAGTAATAAAGCAGCTGTGTTTTGTTCCAATGTAACTGTAGGTGTGGCAGTATTGTAGTGATGAGAATAAAAAGACTGGGTCTCACTGTGTTGCTCAGGCTGAACTACAGCATCTATTCACAGAGGCGATCCCACTACTGGGCAGTACGGGGGATTTGACCTGCTCCGTTTCCGACCTGGGCCGGTTCACCCCTCCTTAGATGACCTGGTGGTCCTAGGCTCCCCCAGGATCACCATATCTATACTGAACTTAGTGTGGACCCCTGCTCAACATAGGCCACTGCAGCTCAGAGCTCCTGAGCTCAAACAATCCTCCAGCCTCAGCCTCCCAGTAGCTTGGATTACAGGTGAGAGCCACCACACCCGGCGAGGAGCAGCTGCTCTGACAGGAGCATCACCTGGATAAAGGAGGAGATAGCAGGAGACACAGGAGAGGGACACCTAGAGGTGGGAGAGGTAACTGCACATAGTCAACTTTTATTGCTCTGAAATGTCTTTAGGTATTTAAAACTATGTGACGTTTAAAATCGACTTTGTTTTTAAATTCCAATCTATAAAACAATTTGTTTGTGTAGACGTTGTTAATTATTGCCTCCAGTAATTTTTTTATTTAAAAACAACAGTTTCTTTCTGTGTTTATAAAACTACTGAGTTCATATTGACTGATTAACAAGGTAAGTAGCCTGTGGGTCTGAAAAAGTATTTAGAACAGAGACTTTACAAATGAACCGGTTCTAATTTCTGTCTTTCTTTCAATCAGCCTTCAGCCAAAGGACAACATGCTGCCATGTCCTCAGCTATAATGTTTTACTAAAGAATTAACCAAAAGATTTCTCAGATCCTCTCTTGAACCAGTGTTTTTCATTCATGTCTTTTCATTTCCTGATACCATAAGTAAACTTTTCACTTTCTAGAATAATTTTAGACTTCTGAAATCCTCTAGCTGTTCTATATTTTAGATCTAAATGATAAATAGATGTGTCAGGCTGCTGAAAAGTCATTCTGAAAGAGTCTACAGATCTCACTGGTCAAAAGGGCACAGAAGTGCTTGTTCTTCCTGCAGAGGATGAGTAGAGCCCACCTGCCCCCACCCATCCTCACCACCTTCTACAGAAGCACCATAGAGAGTGTTCTGACCAGCTGTCTCACTGTGTGGGGTGGAGGCTGCAGCGCCTCAGACTGGAAGAAGGTGAAAAGAGTGGTGAGAACAGCAGAGAGGATCATCAGGGCTCCTCTTCCCTCCATTACAGACATTTCATCACAGCGCTGTGTGTCCAGAATCCATAACGTCATCAGCGACCCCTCACTCCCCCACCATGTACTGTTCTCCCTGCTGCCCTCTGGGAAAAGGCTTTGCAGCATTCGCTGTAGGACCAGCAGGTTCTGCAGCAGTTTTTCCCGCTGCCATTAGACTGTTGAACTGTTGAAACTAATCAAGTCACAAATGGAGACTCTGCATCATGCTTGTAAACATAATATTTGCAAAGCATGGCGAATTTCTTAATCCCTTTAAATGAAACTCACCTCAGTGTTTTACTGCATTTTGCACCATATTTATTTATTTATTTTGCACTGCTCTGAAACTTCCATATCAATGCCTTTTGAACCATGTCTTTAAACTGGTTTTCTTCTTCTCCTACTCTGGTTACATTTTGATCACTGCTGCACTTTATAAATAGAAATGTTATTTTCCCTGCAAAGCTGCTCATTCATGGTTTAAAAGCTGTAGGCATCAAAATTTCATTTAATATAGACTTTGTGTATTTAAAATGACAATGAAGTTTGTCTAAGTCTAAGAGCTATCAGACTTAGATATATTTCAACCAATGTAAATTCTCTTCTTAAACAGTTTACTGTAAGAATCCTCTTGATCAGGACCCACCAGATGTACATATATTTAGGTAAAGCATTTCTATGTGTCTACCTTTCACAACATTTGGCAGATTTGAAGAAAGCATCAGTAGGGAAATTCTCTGAAAATATGTGTTTTGGACAGACATATTCAATGAAACGCATCTTCACTCATATCAATTGGACATTTATTTTAAAAATACAGAATCTATTAAATATGTCATCAATCAGTGAAGGTCATAGTTGAATCATGGGTCACTTTGAAATTATATTGGTCAATTTAAATGTTCCAAA